ATGTAAACTTTAGTTTCATAGTTCTTTAAGAGCTAAAAACATAAGTTCATACTATTATGTTTCAAGTTATTTTATTATAATATCACATTTTATTGTCTTCTTTCTATAATTTTTTTTTTTGAAACAGGGTCTCACTCTGTCACTTAGGCTAGAGTGCAATAGTGTGATCATGGCTCACTGCAGCCTTGACCTTCTAGGCTCAAGGGATCCTCCCACCTCAGCTTCCAGAGTAGCTGGGACCACAGGCATGTGCTACTATGTCTTAACTTTTTTGTAGAGACAGTTTCATCATGTTGCACAGGCTGGTCTCAAACTCTTGGACTCAAGTGATCTTCCCGCCTTGGCCTCCCAAAGTGCCAGAATTATAGGCATAAGCCACAGTGCCTGGCTTGATTTTAGTGTGACATTCTAATAAAAGTAACTGGAGGGAGAATCCCCCTCAAAAAAAATTTTTTTTGAAACAGATTCTCGTTCTGTCACCAGACTGAAGTGCAGTGGTGCAATCTTGGCTCACTGCAACCTCCGACTCCAGGTTTAAGGGATTCTTCTGCCTCAGTCTCCTGAGTAGTTGGGATTACAGGCACATGCCATCACACCCAGCTAATTTAAAGCTTGACCCAATAAATAAACTAAATTAACCTCCTATACTGAGAATTCCCCCCAAAATATTTTTTAGGCATGCTCAATCCAGTAAATAAACTAAATTTACTTCCTGTACTATCTCTTATTAGTGCAACTATTTCAGATCTTTCTCACATTTCTTCTGGATTACTTAATTAGCATCCTGTTTTTCTTGCCTCTAGTCTCCATCCCAATACATACTTTGGGCACATGCTTCAACACTGCTATCACATTTTCTTTTTGCCATCAAAATCTGATCAAGCCATTTTGGTTAAATTCGATTCTCCCATCTCATCCCGTCCCGTCCCGTCCCCTTCAGCATAAAATGCCCTCAGTATCTCCAGTCATGTCTTTAAAATCTATCCTGTCTCCTCATATTTCCGTCTTCTCATTCTCTCCTTGCTGCCCTGTCCCTTCCACTTCAATCTCCCAATACTGCAGCCAGTGTTTATAGTCTCAAAAACTTATCAAGTTATCTCTGAGACATTGCATGCTGTTCCCTCGGCTTAGGAGCCTCCCTTACTATTGTTTTTCCAACTTTGCCTTGCTCCCTTTTTTCCATTTGTTTTAATACAACTCTCTTCCTCAGAGAAACTTTCCCTGACCACCCCCAGCTGAGTTCAGGACATTAATAGTGCTCTTTGCACACTTTTATGTCACTGAACCCACTCCACGATGTCTGATACATACTGGTCTCCTCAAAAGACTTTCCTACGATGATATCTGTCTTGTTGTATAGGTGACATCTCTGTCTTTGTTTATGTATCTTCAGTGCCTAGCACATAATAGTGGTTCGATATTTTTTAAATAGAAAAATCGGAGTGATTCTAACAACAGATCTCTACTACATTAACATTCTTTGTCCTAAGCTTGAAAGACTCCCACTTGCCTATTCAGACCTAAGCATCACTGACTGACAAACTTGAATCGCACGCAGTCTCTTTATCATGCCTCATCCTACACCAACAGCAATCTTAAAAAGATTATTATCTTTTTTTTTTTTTAACCTGTGTTTGTAAGTAAACAAGCTTTTTGAAAGAATGCACTGTTCTGGTCGTTTCATATAGATGGAATCAAACAATATGTGGCCTTTTGCATCTGGCTTCTTTCACTTGACAATGTTTTAAGGCTTCAAGATACATTTTGTAACATGTATTAGTAATTTGTTCCTTCTTATTATAATAAGAGTATTCCACTATACAAATATAGCACATCTTCTTTATTCATTCATCAGCTGATTGACATTTGAGTTGTTTCTACTTTTTAGCTCTTATGAATAACCCTACTCTGAACATTTGTGTGTTAAGTTTGTATGTAGAAAAATATCCTATTTTTATCTCAAAGATTTGTGCATGGTTCATTACATGCCAAAAGCCTTATTAATTTAAGGCCAAAATGATGTTTTTAGCATGAAATAAAGTACAGTTTCTTAAACCATATTAATTTGACCTAACGAGATTCTGAATTGATAAGTATAGAAATTAATTTGACTTTTTGTGCAAGCAATGTAAAGTAACATTTGGTTGACATGGGCTCCAAAGTACTTGTTCCAGGCAGAATATGTAAATGAGCATTCTGAATATAGAAACTGGACCATAACATTTACAATTTAATTAAACTAATAAAATGGTATACACTGTACTAGAGCCAGTGTCTTTGGAAAGTTATAATATCCTGTAACAAAGTTACAAAGATATACAAAAACATAGATACAATATTAACATAAGTATATATATATATATATATATAATCTATGTTAATTATGTTTATTCATCAGTACATTCTAAGTAACCCTTTACTCAAGTTATTATAATAATGTGGCCTCACTGATGAATTCACATATTAAGACCCTGTTAAACCACCATTCTTCACATTAGTAGATTAAATGCCCATTTACTAGTAATTTTTTCCAAGACAGGGTCTTGCTCGGTCATCCAGGCTTGAGTGTAGTGTCACAATCACAGCTTACTGCAGCCTCAACCTCCCAGGCTCAGGCAATCCTCCCACCTCAGCCTCCCAAGTAAATGAGAACATAGGTGTGTACCACCATGCTCCGCTAATATTTTTTATTTTTGTAGAGATGGGGTCATCCTGTGCTGTCCAGGCTGGTCTCAAACACCTGGGCTCAAGTGATCCTCCCATGTTGGCCTCCCAAAGTGCTAGGATTACACCAGCCCAGCCTAATTGTTTTTTTATCATTTTCAGGACTTCAAAATAATATTTATTAAGGGATTATTTTTAATCATATTGTCAACATTTTTGTACATTTATTAATTTCTAAATGTAAATTTTTCTCTCAGTATTTACAGCCAGAATCTTTTTTCTTTTTAGTATATCTCCAATTGCAATATAAAAAACATGATTATTTTCCTTTCTTGTTTCAAATGAGAACATTTCTACCATTGTAATTCAAGTAAAATGAGTATGTTTTAACTTTATTTGCAACTGTACAGTGGGCTCTCTGTAACAATGGGTATATGAATAATGTTTAAAAATTTGACTTACGCTTGGCCTGCTTTATCCAAAGGCATCAAAATGCCTCTAGGCTATGTGCCTTTTGATTTTAACCATGGCAAAATATGAGGAGAAATGTAAGTCCACTAATACAAATACAAACAAGTATAAGCAGAAAGCCTAATCAACTAAGGAATTAAGTGCCTAACACAAATGAATTTGTGATTACATAATCACTTGCCTTTATAAGCATGGATAATCTAGAACTCCATATATATTAGGATTTTTTTTGGGGGGGTGGACAGGGTCTCACTCTGTCGCCCAGACTCGGGTTCAATGGTCTGATCTTGGCTCACCACAAACTCCACCTCCCAGACTCCGAAACAGCTGGGATTACAGGGGCCGGCCACCACGGCCAGCTAATTTTTGTATTTTTAGTACAGATGGGGTTTCCCTATGTTGGCCAGGCTGGTCTCAGACTCCTGACCTCAAATGATCCACCTGCCTGGGCCTCCCAAACTGCTGGGATTACAGGCATGAGCCACGGTGCCTGGCCACTATTACTATACATTTGTTTCACACTATGGCCAGTTAATGTCTGACTGGTTACTTTAGTAACTTACATTTATAGAGCATTGTAGGGTCTACAGTGTCCTTTCACATACATTATGACACTTAAACTACACAATCACCCTATGAGAAAGAAGTTATTATTACTTACTTTAGCAGTGAAGAAATGGAGTCAAGATAATTAAACAGGCCAAGAGCAAACAAATGGGAAGCAATTACAAACCCGGGTTCCTCCCTCCACCTTCATGCCTAATCTTCTGTGCTTCTACTATATTTGGCTAGCTAGGAGAAAGAACACAGATTATTCAAGGAGGAGGGAGGGGCCAGAGGTGTTTACGAGGTGAGCCTTACGAACAGTTAGGCCATGAGGTGAGAACTTCAGTGCTTTGCTACTCTCCGGGTGGTTCAGACTAGCAAAATGTCTATCACCTGGGAGTTAGTTAGAAATGTAGGATCTCAGGCTTCAGCATCTGCCCTACCAAATAAAAGTCGCATTTTCAACAAAACCCCAGGTGGTTCCTATAGACAATAGTTTGAGAAGCACTGCTTCCCTAATTGCTCTAGTGACACTACATGGTCACTTGAACAGTATACATTAGACCACTTATATTCATCATTGTTGATCTGTTTTTATTAGGTAAAACTTCCTCCAAGTTTTCAAATTAAATGTATTGTTAAAACAAGTTTATTTTTTCCACGTAATTGAAGATCTCCACTTCAGTAACTGGGGTCATTAAGTAATGTTAGAAAACCTTAAGCGGCTCAGTGGTTACCCACCCAAAATTAAGATCTTTCTTTTACCTAAACAATACACTACAGAGCGTAACTGCCCTCTCAGTACTTTAAACCCTTGACTAAAACAGGCCAATCCCATTTATGTAAACTCCACTTCCCAACTTGGATCTTTCAGGAAGTACCGTACGTATGGTTTTTCTGACTCTAAACTCTACCTAATTTCTTAATTAGTCTCGCTACTTTCTGGCTCAGTAACTGAAACATAGCAACAGAAGTTAAAGGTATTGAGAAGTTAAGCTTGTTTCCACTTCTACAGTTGGCGGATGGCAGCGACTGATTACGGAGACGCGTGACCACCACCCTGCCCCTAACCCTCTCTGTCCTAGCCCCATCGACTCAGTTGAGCTTGACTCGGGCTGCTCTAACTCTGGGAACTGGCCTATGGGCCTGCTCTTCTCAGTGTTGCTCCTTTAGGGTCAGACATGCACTAGACTTCAGCACGTGGGAGCGCTGATGAGCCGCCAACCTGAGTCTATTTAAAACTACTGTTCCCATCTTGAGGGGAGCCTCCTCCCACAGCATAACAAGCCCAGGAGGGCAGGCAAATAAATACTGCTCACCTGCTCCACCGGAAATCTCAAAATCCCGGCTCAACATCGACTAAAGGTATCTGGTAATTAATCCATGACACCTCCCACCGCATACTCCTGATTGGGCGCATGAGAGAGGGCTGTGTCGGCGCGCGCTCTTACCAGTCCGGGGAATTCCATTTCCTCTTCCAACCACCGGCTTAAACATTCAGGGGCGGTGCTTTCCTGGCAGTAGCCCGCCCCAGTTCGAGCCGGTGCCTCACTGCGTCTCGCGAGAATTTGTGGATTTTGGGGGCGGGACCCCGAGAGGAAGAGCGCCCAAAACTGCTCTTAAGTCATTGCAGAGCTACCGCTTCGGTTAGCCAGCTACGAAGTTCTCGCGAGAGTCGTCGCCTCAATACCAAGTGAGGAAACTGGGAGACGCTGTGGGGAGGGGCGTGGGGCTGGGTCGCGCAGCGGCTGCTTGCTTTACCTTCCTCCCATGGTCTCCTTCCGGTTCTCGATGCTTCTCTGAGCCTAAGGGTTTCCGCCACTCGTCTACCCTCCCCCCAGCCCATGATCCGCCTCCCTCCCCCGCCCTCCTAGTCCAATCTCCGATCTGTTCAGTAAGAAGGTGCTGTTCCGAGAAGGACAAGGGAAAAAGGATTGGCACGTATTCACTCGGCCCCGGACGTGGGAAGCAAGCCGTCTGGCTTCGGCCTCACATCGGTCTTCTGCTCGCGACGGCGGCGTTGGCGGACTGATCCGCGGCGGTGAAGAGGCAGGAGAAGGGGGAGGGGCGGAGCGTGGCAGCTGGCAGTAGTTCCGTCAGAGCGGACATCTTGTGGCTGTGTCGTGCGCGTGAGCCCCGTAGGGCCGGGGAGGCACCAGCTGCCGCGCGGGGAGGAGGCCGAGGCCGCAGCTTGAGGGAGGCCCCGGCCCCTCTGTACGCGTGGGTGTGGACGGCTAGGGAAGGGAAGGGAGGCCGGCCCACTGGCCGGCCGGGTAAGAGGGGCAGTGCGGGCCCTGGGCGGCTTGAACGGCCAGCCTATTGGGTGCGGCGGGGTAGGGTGGGAAGGCTGGAGAAGCCGGGGCCTCTCCCGCTGGAGGAGGAGGGGGAATGGGCGCGTTCACGCGCCCAAGCCGGAGCCTCAGGGGTAGCACGGGCGCGTGGTGGAGGTATCTGGGCGGGCGCGCGCGGGAGCGCGCTGGAAGGCGGAGTGTACGGTGGCGTCAGGGACGACACAGAATAGCTCGCTGCGAGGACACCAACACACATCAAACCTCTCTTCCTTTATTTCTTTCCCCTCCCTGGCCGCACCTTTGGGCAGAAACCGAAAGCAGTCCGGCGTCCGTCCTGAGTCTTTTGCTTCCCCCTCCCCCTTGCCTTTCTTTGCCGTAGTGACGCCGGTATAGCGCCGACTAGGCCCCAGCTCCTCCTCTCCTGGGCTCCGGACCCTGCCCCGCACCCACCCCTTTCTCCGACGCCTCTTCCTCTCCCACCCGGGTCTCTTCCTTTCGAGAGGCCGGGAAGTTAAACTTGTAGCCACCCCCTCCGCTCTTCCCGTCACCCTCGCCCCCACTTCGGGCAGAAAGCACGGCATAGAGGCTTTTGGTGGCTTTGCCACCCCACCCACCCCGGATCGCGTCCGTCTTAAGGGACCTGGATTCATCAGGGGCTCTCCGAGGCCTGTGCGAGTGTTGATCTGCTCCGTTTTTGCAAAAGGCGCCTGTGTCTGGCAGAGCCGGTGTGAGACGAGACAATCCTGCCCCGCCGCCGGGATAATCAAGAGTTTTGGCCGGACCTTTGAGCACACACCGAGAGAGTGAGGAGCCAGACGACAAGCACACACTATGGCGCTGAAACGGATTAATAAGGTAACCCGCGGGAACTGAAGGAAATGGGGTCGTGGGAGAAAAGGAAGGCTCGGGCCCAGAGGAAAGCGTGGGGGTGGGAAAGAAGCATAATTCTGAAAATACCTCTTGGATCACTTCTTCCATGGTGGGGGATGGAGAACGCGGATATACTTCTTGAAATGAAGTTCAAAGCTAGGGAACGGAGAAAACTTGTGGCAAGTGAAGTGTTATCCCGAGTGTGCTTCATTGGAATCGGTGCAGTTTAGGGGTGGAGGAGAGTGACTTAAAGCGTCTTTATTTATATGATTGTTACTATTTTTTTGCTGCTTAAGAGTTCTTTTGGGGTCCGAATTAGGGAGAGCCGCTCCAGCAGATGTCATGCAGCTTCCTATTCTTGGGAGCTCCCAAACTTAACTTTATGAGATCAAGGTTCTGTAGGCTTTCTACGGGAAAGAAAGAAAACCCGGACGAAAAATTTGGCGAGTCGTGAACTTGACTGAGGGTCGGGTGGAAGTCTCTTGTCTATTGAAGGATAGTGAATGAGTTTAGTGGAGAAACTCTTCGTCGACTCTGGGCAGGGTACACAGAGTAAGTGTGTTTGGGAGGAGATAGAATGACACAGTGTTGCCACTTCCTGTAAAAGTAGTTGCAGCTTTTCACCCGAAGCTATTTATCCGAGGCACACCGGGAACTGATGTAAAAGCCTTCTGGAAGCTCCCTTTTCCTTTTGGCTGGCGGGGGGGTGGTGGGGGGGAGGGTAGATAAGAGGTGCGATGGCAATAAGGGAAAGCTACATGTACCTATTTTTCCTCATCCCATATTAATAACACCCTTTGGGAAGATTCTTTCGTTACTTGAAATGTGGTTTGAATAGTATATTGTCGATTTAAGTTGGAAAAAAACTAGGATTTTTCAGAGCTCTGGGAGTGAGCGGAACCTCCACCTCCGGTGGTTTCGTCTCATTTTCTTGCTCTAACTTCTATCCCGCATTTTAAGATGGCGGCTGCTTTAACTGATTCAGGCTCTTTCCGGCATCTCCTTTCATAATAATGTGAAATAATATGTTTTGTTAAATGTTAACTTTTATATCAGGCTGCGCACTGCTGTGAGACCCTCTACTCAAAACTTACCTAAATTCAAACACTGACTGTATTTTCCTTTTTTGTGATTTGTGTTTGTGTGGTGTGTTAGGTTGTTGCACAATCGAGGAGGGTGGAGTATTTACAGCTAACTTGAAAAAAATGTCATGGAATAAATTCAGCCTTACTAGAAAAATGGGGCGGGGGCTGCAGTGAGGGTTAGAAACTTTGGTTTTAATAGATTACTCTTTCGAAAAAAAGAGTTCAGTGAGACGAATGGCAAGAACTTGCCTTTACTAAAATAGACTTGATACTACTACATTTGCATTTATTTAATTATGACTGAAGTTTATTTGGCAAGATCGGTGTTCTGTGAAAGAGGAAGGTTTAAATCTTCACTCCTAATATTGGTAAGAAATCTTGGATTTTGTTTTAGACCTTCATTGCATCATCTTTTTTGGGTTACGCGAAATGGAATTTAAATCTTTGTGAAATGAAGGAAAAGAGGAAGAAGCTTTTTAGGAGTTAAGGGTCAAAATAAAAGAGGTTATTTTGAAATAATAACCTCTTTCCGTGACCACTTTAAAGGCCAGCAACATACTGGAGAAGCATAGTTGTATGTTACAAGGTAGTTAACAAAAAGAACATAACATTCAGTACAAATGAAAGTCTTTTCTATCAGAATAAGTTTAGGCCGGTAAGATCTGGAATAATTCCAGATCATAGCTTTTTGTACATGTGGAACAGAACAGGTAAAGGAAGGTCTCACTGATTTTTTTTCTTTTACAGGTCATACCCAGCTGCTGTGACACCACTTAAATGATTTAAGAGCTTTAGAGAGGCAATATAACAATGATTAAGAGTGTGAACATTGGAGTAGAAATGCTCCAGTTAGAATTCTAGCTCTGGGCAAGTTTATGTGCCTCTATAAGAAGGGTATCTGTTACAGTATGAACAATAAATGGCTCTGTGCCTAATATGTACCAGGCACTGTTCTAGGCATTGGAGTGGCAGCAGTGAGCAAAACAATTTTAAGTTCCTAAATTTGTTTTGAGGTTTAACTGGATTAATGTGCAGATTTGAACAGGCCCTTGGTACGTGATGCTCACAGTTGCTACTGCTATTTTAATATCACGATTTATAATTCTTAACCATTTTTGTTTAAGAACTTTGACTTCTAGTTTAGTACTCGTGGTTAATACCAGGTTTTCTCGTTGTAAATACTTTGAAGATTTATGTAATGTAGACACAATGTGATAACTTGGCAAATTGGAAAAACCAGTGTTTATGTGAACATTATTGATTCAACGTACATAAATTTTTGACATGTGTGTGTGGTTTGGTTTTTCAGCTGTTAGTGTTAGAATCACATGAGGCAACCTTCAGATATTCCACATCCAAACAATTTTAGTGAGTGGACAGCTCTGAAGGAGAATGCTCTTCAGTTTAAGCACCTCTTCTAGAAATACGGGGTCAAGTAGCCATTGATGTATAGTATCTATGTGTTATGTACCTATTTTGAATTTATTCTTGTCTGAAGGTCCCACATTTCAAATATTAAGACATATTTGTATTCCTCATTATCATTCTATTGAAATGATTATTGGAATACTTTTAACCTTTAGTCCATTTGATCGAGCCTTTGAAGTTATACTTCAGCTTATGTTCTTAGCGTAAGTTTTTGGCTATTAGACCAATCAACTTTTTTTTTTCCTGTATTCTGTATTTGAACAAGCTGTAATATGGTCTTAAATAGGGCTATTAAACATCAGGAGTTAAAAGTGGCACTCCAAGTTGATTAGTACTAAGGGCCATAGACAGTTTTACCACTCCTGTTAAACAGTGTCTACTACAGTATATGTGTTTTTGGGGACATTTGAATAGAAATCTCATGTGAACCAAGCCTAAAAGAATATCTCATGTTCTCAGCGTTTGCAGTGTGTCAGAACTGTTTGAAACGCATGTATTCTTTAATCTTATAACAAACCTAGGAAGCAGGTACAGTTGTCTCCATCTTGAAATTCAAAAACTAAGGCACAAGGAGGTTAAGACGACCTGGGTTCATGTTGTGACAGTTGGGATCAGAACCTAGGCAGCCTAGTCCAGAGTATGTGCTTGTTTAATCACCACTACATTTTGCTATCATCCTTTAGGTTTTTTTGTCATTCAGAACATTTACTTTTTGTATATAGTATTGCCTAGTACAGTAGTTAAGACTTAATGCAGCCTCTATGTACTAGACACTGTTTGTAAACCCTTTAGTAGTAGTAACTCATTTAATCCTCAGGACAACCATGTGGGATAGATGCGAGAATTTTATAAATAAGGTAACAGGCCCAGAGAAATAGTTACTTGTCTAGTGACACAACTAATAAGTGATGGAGATTCAAATCAGATAGTGAGACACCAAAAGCACAAGCTCTTTTTTGAACCATTTCAATTCTTATTTTATAGTAAATGTGGTTTTAGTTTGTTATCTGAAATAAGCTGCTTTGCTCCCCTACTTCCACATCTAAGTAATTGGAATTTAGCATTACTGTTAGGTAATAGCTAATTTGTGAATTAAGATTTTAGCCAATATGTTTTGAAAGTAGAAGTGGATTTCGTTCTTTTTGGGATAGTCTCTTCAAGCACTGAAAATTAACGTGTCAGTTAACTGCTTAGGACATCTTAGAATGAACAAGATACACTTCTTGTTCCCAACTACCATATAAGCTGGTAAACTGTCTCACATGTGTTTCATATATGGTCCTCAAGGCTTGTCTATAGCCAGCTAACTTCCTGTGTATGACAGTTGTGGCTGAAGGATAATGATCATGTGACCTCAGTGTGTATTTAATTTGAAAAAGTGTGCGTGACTGATACTGCATACTTTTCTTTCATCATGCTCATCTGCAGTGTTGATTCTAGTTTTTGTTATTCACAGAAATAAAAGTTGAATGCTTCATCACTGGGATGAACTACTGTGTCACTAGATTGCTCTCTCAAACTTTGTGCCTGAGTTTAGGTGATCCTTATTATCCAAGACAGGCAATTTTTAAGGATTCTCCACAGCATGTTGCTATAATCTTTCTATTAAAAAAGAAACTACATTCCTAACACTGAGTTAAAAAAATGTTTCAGATTAAAATCTCAAACCTAGATTGGTTTTTGCATTCTTTTTTTAAATGGTTCTTCGTTAGTGTAAGAGCTGACTCAGTGTTATCTATATGTTGTTTGTGGGTTTTGATGGGAATTACGTTTATATTCCAGAACATTGAGAGTTTTTTTTTTTTTTAAATTTTGTGAGTACATAGTTGGTGTATAGTATTTATGGGTTACATGTAGTATTTTGATACAGGCATGCAATGCATAGTAATCTCACATCAGGGTAAATGGGGTATCTATCACTTTGAACATTTATCCTTTGTGTTACAATCCAATTATACTCTTAGTTATTTTTAAATGTCAGATTGTTTAGAGATTTTAAAAAATGCAGCTACATGGGGGGGTCTGAGATTTACTAAATCATTTTCCCTGGATGTAGACATAAATTTCTGATTTTTCTAGGTGATTCTGAAGCTCCTCTTTAAGTACCACAGATAACAGGGGAGTAAAGGTCCTAAACTGCATTAAATGTAGTATTCTATTCTAGTCCCAGGGAATAAATGTGAAGGTTGGTCCTTACTTAAGGTAATTCTGCATTCAGTGGTGAAAACAAGTATGTAAACACATGAATAGATGTTTGTCAGTTTGTACATTTACCTTTCAAGAAAGTTAGATCTAGTAGGAGAGGTATTTATTTTAAAAAATTTTTCTTTTCTCTTTTTTTTTTGAAACTGAGTCTTATTCTATCGCCCAGGCTGGAGTGGGAGTGCAGTGGCGCTATCTTGGCTCACTGCAACCTCCGCCTTTGTGATTCTCCTACCGCAGCCTCCCGAGTAGCTGGAATTACAGGCGCAT